TTGGTAAAAAAAAAAAAAAAAAAAATGTGCCACATGAGTATTATCGCCTAGTTAAAAAAGAAAAAAAAACTGTGCCAGATTAGTATTACCCCCAACTTTGTAAGAAAAAAAATTCTTGTGCCCGATATGTATTCCCTAGCTTTGTAAAAAAAAAAAAAAAAAAAAAGGTACGCGCACATACACACACACACACACACACATATATATATATATATATATATATATATGCATACATATGTGTATATGTATGCATATATATATATATATATATATGTATGTATGTATATATGTATGTATGTATATATATATATATATGCATATATATATATATATATTTATTTATTTATATATATGCATATCTATCTATCTATATATATATGTGTGTGTGTGTGTATTCCTTAATTTCTAACGTGTGTGCGTATGCACACCATGTCCTTAAGTGTACATATGCAAAAAGTGTCATGCAGTCTTCCCAACAATATATATCTCACGTCGCATGTTTATGGACGGAAGAAAAGGCCTTTGTTACCAGATAAGATTATGCGATTTAGACAAGGGATCGTGACTGCTGTGTTGATAAGAGATCTTGCCCTCGCACTAAGAAGGGAGGGGCAAGAGGAAGGAAAAGGAGAAGAGGAGGGAAAGGAGCAGAAATTGAGGTTGAACGTGGGTTGATCGTACCTTCATACTAAGCAGGTTAGAAAGACGAAGAGCAGAATCTCTCAAACACTCTCACACACACAAACACACACAGATACAGGGCATATCCACTCATGCATTACAGAAGATAGACTAGCAGATGGAGAGGGAGAATCGTTATGATAATCAGTAACGTGAGCCGTAAAAGGGTTTCTAGAAAGAATTCCGTAGTTGCTGTGAGACACATACAAGGGGGGGGGGCGAGGCAGAGGCATCCCTTTTCAACGAGGAAGTAAGGCGACTCCCTGCCTCCGCCATCCTACGGGACACCCTTGGGCTTAGCCTAATCACCAGGGTCGTGACGAAACTCCTGTCAAAAAAGACCTGGGATATATCGCTACAACGGATTTGTCATTACAGATTACTTTACAGACCGGCAGGAGTTCACTGCCAGATAAAGGTTCCTTCAAAAGGAGGTATCATGACGTAAAACCTGCAACTGAATGAACTGCAGAGGTGGGGGTTGAACTACGAACAAAGAGATAATTTTTGCGATCTTTACTTTCTTTCCCTGGCCACCTTTCTCACACAATGAATAGTACAGGTGTGAAGGGTCGCAGCTGTTCAGCAAGAACTATCCGAAATATGAGTGTGTCTGTGTTTATACGCATTTATCTATTCATTCATTCATTTACTTTTTTCATCTGTTGATCTATTCATACTGGTTACTAATATTAACACTGTCATCATCACTGTCGGCCTTATTTTCATTGTTACCATCATTTTTTCCCATTCTAGTACATGTATCATTATACACCCTCCTTTTTAATACTCCCATATTCCACCACATAAGACATCATCAAAATTAATACAGATGAATCAAATAACGTGAACAATACCTATAAGGAAAGTGTCAAAGGCTTTAAGGTCGAACCGCCCGCCCACATCGCTTTCGCAGTCAGCCTAACGGATGAATTACTAAACCAGCCACTTGCGTCATGACTTTGTGACGTCATGGAGTGGTTTTTTTTTTTTTGACAGTTTAATATGTTCGGCGTCCGACCCACGTGACCTGCTGAATGATTAATGGGCACTTGTGGGCATGTGAATATTGACAAGTGAATGATATATAGCTGGAAATACATTTGTTTGCTGTATGCTGTACATATTTTCGCGTGTGTCAATTTTAAAGTGTGCGTGTGTGTATGTGTGCGTGTTTGTGTGTGTGTGTGTGTGTGTAAATGTGATTGTTTGCGTATGTGTGTTTCTGTCGTGTGTGTCAACAGGTCTGTCTGGGACCGTATTAACTCTACGGTGATTGTTACCCGCATTTCACTTTCTCTATTTCATTTCCCTGATGCATTGGACGGAAGCTTCCCCCCAGTGGCACCCACCCAGGCAGTCCCCCCAGTGGCTCCTCCAGGCACTCCCTCCAGTGGCCCTCCCCCCCAGGATGGTCCCAGATTTGGGTGGCTCCCCCCAGGCATGGTCCTCCAGTCCCCCGGTTGGCTCCCCCCAGGAGTCCCCACTAGTGCCAGTCCCAACTCCCCAGGCAGTCCCCCACTGGCTCCCACCCAGGCAGTCCCCACCACTGGCTGCCCCCCAGGCAGTCGCTCCCACTGGACCCCCCCCCCGCCCCAGGCAGTCCCCCACTGGCTCCCCCCCAAGGCAGTCCCCTGCACTGGCTCCCCCCAGGGAGTCCGCCCCAGTTGGCTCCCACCAGGCAGTCCCCCCAGTGGCTCCAATCCGAGTGGCTCTCAAGCCACCTAGCTGCTCCCCCCCCCCCAAGCAGTCCCCCAGTGGCTCTCCAGGCCCAGCCCCCCACTGGATGCCCAACCAGCTAGAAAGGAAAAAGAAATGAATCGCAAAAAGGGACCTGCACGGGTGCATCAGCCAGAAACAATCCAATTATGGGGTTTATACATGATGTGTGTGTGGTTTATAAGCATTTACTTATTTATTCATTCACTTTTTTTTCCTTTCTCCTCTTCCTCTCTCTCCTCCTCCTCCTCCTCCTCCCCCTATCCCCCCTCTCCTCCCCCTTCCTGCTCTCCCTCCTCTCTCCCTCCTTCCCCTCCCTCCCTCTCTCTCTACCTCCTCCTCCCCGTCCTATCTCCCTCCGGCTCTCCTCCTTCCTTCTTCCTCCTCTCTCCTCCCTCCCTCTCTCCCTCCCTCCCTCTCTCCCTTCCTCCTTACTCATACTGTATCTTAAATTTTCCATGCAACTTTACCGCACTCACAGAACATTGTTATGTAAGTAAATTGTCTAAAGCATTCAAGCTTAATACCCTTTGTATGTCTATTTCCCTTTTACCATGTACAATTACAGTAATCACACAATGCTGTACTATGTCAAATACATATGAATATATGCAAAACAGGGAGGTAAATATACCACTTTAACTTAACTTTGACTTTAACCTGTGGTGAAAGTTATTGCAATGTATATTTGTTATTTGGAGTTTTTATCATGGTGGATATAATTGACACGGTTACATAGTGTCCATATTCTCTAAATAGCATTAGCTCGTTATGCCTGGGTTTTTATATCTTTCATATATCTAGTAAAATATATATAATCAACCATTCATCCATGCAAATGTGTTATTGTTTTGAATCTACGTTATAATTTCATATAAGGATTTCTGATTTCTTCAGAATATCACCCTGTCATATAGCTCTATGCCATACAGACTGTATATCTAATGTATGTAAATAAACTATATTTGTTGTCGTATTCTACAGCTCGATCTGTTACAAATTCAATTTTATTAACCTGTCAATCTTTATTCTTACTCTAAAATAAATTTCGTAAGGGTTACGTAGCGTTCACGTCAATCAAAATTCATATTGCTAAAACTGTGTAGTTCTCTCGCCCCGCATATGCTCGCCTGTCTCCCTCCCACTGCATAAACCTTCTCCCTTTTTCTCCATTTGTTCATTTATCTGTCTATCTATCTATCTTTCGACCCACATAGATACTCAAATATCTATCAGTCTATATATATAAATAGTTATCCATCTATCTATCTATATGCGCTGTGATGGCGCAGCGGTTAGCGTGTTGGACTAGCAATCTTGCAGACCTGCGCACAGCCCTAAACCGGCCAGTGAATGGTAACCCCGGCCATTCCTTGCACACGGGGATATTTAGAAGCAAAGTAAAACAGACAGTATGTCACAGCAAAGAGTATCCATTGTAACAAATGGAATTAAGACTAAATCTATAAAATCTTTGAATCTTTAAAAGTCTTTAAATCTCTCTAAATCTCTCTCTCTCTCTCTCTCCTCTCCTCCCTCCTCCCTCCTCCCTCCCTCCCTCCTCCCTCCCCTCCTCCTCTCCTCCCTCCCTCCCTTCCCTCCCTCCCTCTCTCCTCTCCCTCCCTGAGGATCGAGTTTTTTACCCCTGCATTCACAAGAGTCTCCGCAATAATGGACTGCATGCTGCTGCATTAACAGAAAATAGAATAAAAAGAAAAGAAAAATGTGGGTCTTTTTATAGGGGAAGGGAGGGACAGATGAAAAAATGAAAGAACAGATGAAAAGGAAGAGAAAAAGGGTGTGATAACAGGGACGTTTTTTTGGCATGGAAAGAAATGATAAGCAGAAGAGAATGAAGTGAAAAAATGTAATAACAAGGAAAAGGGGAATTAAACGAGAAAAAGGAAAAAGATGATGAGGTTACGAAGATGAAAGGCGTACATATAAATAAAAGTATATAATAAAGTAAAACAAAGTAAGATGAGATTAAGTGAGACAAAAATGGACGTGTAAGAAAACTAGAATTATAGGGAAATACGATAGACACTAACACAAGGTATATATAGATTGAAGTGCGTATAGGATGAGACAGACAAACATTGAAACCAAATAGGAGATGGAAAGTAGATAATGATAACAATGGCATGTGATAACAAAAACGACAATGAAAATTGAAAATTACCAAGAACAAACACAGTAAGATTTAAAAGAAGAACAAATAAGATAATAAGAAACTAGTAGTAAATCTAAGCCAACTGGGAGAAGGAAACCAGCCGCAGAGAGAGAAGAAAATGGAGAAGAAAAGCCAACTCGGTTTGAATAAAAAATGCACAAAACAAGGGGAAAAAAACAAAGCGAAATAAGAAGAGAAAAAGAAACATGAAAATTTATTGATAACGTATAGAAAATTAATAACAATAAACAAAATAAAACAAGGGAAGAAAACATGGCGAAATGAGAAGAAAAAATGAAATACTAAGAAAATTAATAACGTACAAAAAATAACGATAAATTAAACAGAACAAAAGTAAAAAAAAAAAAAAAAAAAAAGCGAAATGAGAAGAGAAAATGAAACACGAAGAAATTAATATCGTATAAAAAAGGAATAACAATAAAACAGAACAAGGGAAATAAACAAAGCGAAATGAGAATAGAACATGAGACATGAAAAGAAAATAATAACATATAAAAAGGAATAAGAAACAAAAACAGAATAAGGGACGTAAACAAAGCGAAATGAGAAAAGAAAATGAAACGTGAAGAAAAAATAAAACGTACAAAAAATAAAACAGACCAAGGGAAGTAAACAAAACGAAACAAGAAGAGAAATTTAAACATGAAACGAAAATAAAAACGAATAAAAAGAAATAACGATAAATAAAGCAAACAGCGATAAACAAATGTCAGAAGGGAGGGTAAGAGGGAGATCTTTTCGTAATGCAAGTTAATGGTGATGGTAATGTGTCGGTCGTGCTTGTTCATAGTAATTGAGGATTGTCACTCTCATAAATTTTCTTTCATGAGTATCCTTGTCTTTTCCTGGCTTGATAATTAAATGAAGTGAGTGATATGATAATAACCATTAAACTGAAGAGGTAATAACAAGGATAATAAAGTGGGTATAAAGCATATGACACATAATCTTGTTATGGACACTTAACTTCCTTGATGTGTGTTTTTGAGCGTCCTGAACAACACGCTAAAATTACCTCTCTCCACGGACTTATCCACTTTTATGTCGCGTTTAATCCACTTTTCCCCGCTTACTTATAAACGTTAAATCCAGCTTTACCGTATCAGTGTATCTCAACATACTTATCCACCTTTAAGCCACGATTAATCCACATTTACCCTCTTAGTCCAACGTTCCGGCACATGGATACATTGGTTCGATTATCTTCATCGCAGCCCTTATGCCTTTCGCTCCTTCATTAATGCAGCTTCTATGCCCTAATTGGTCGAGAGAGGCAGCGCGTATGTGGCCTGGTCCTTCCCGGGGTGGATTTACCTGAAATGCTGAGTCCCTGGGGTGCATCTTCCTTCCCCGCACACATACAGACGTACACAAGCACAAACGCAGTAACGTGTACACAGAAATGAAAATGTACACTTAAGATTCCTTGCTTTTACTGTACCCCTAATTCGTGTCACAAAGGGGAATTTTGAAGTCATGGCCGATGTAAGACACGAACGAAAGAAATGAAAATGAAAACAAATCCTTCGGAGTCTTCCCCATGACCTTCGCAGCAGACGAAAAGGAAATATCCAGTCTAACCCCGTGCATTTTCCCACGAGGAATTCCCAGCCTCCGCCTTATGCAGGGATGAGAAGTTCAGCCGACACGCACCGCCGGAGTTTCCATCATTACAGCAGCGACAGAGAGCCTCTCGACCGTACCTCCGTCGGTGCTCAGGCAGATACGTATGAATTTGCATATATTATAATGTCTGACGAGATTACAGTCTGCAATTGCCGAGCGTGTGTGCGATAACTCGCCTCTGACGACGCTTAGATAATGTAATAGTGAAGATTTCCCTTAATCGTGTTAGGAAAGATGCAAGCTTTGAGATTGTGTTTATGTCTACAAAGACCGAGATATGTTTCCCGGGAAGAGATAAAGAGATTTGAATTAGTCTCGGCGAGAGGAGCAAAGACCACAAAGACCGTCGCAGGAGAAGCATCGCGCGAAGAAAGTAGAATGGATAAAGAAGATAGCAAGAAGAAGGAAGCGTAACCGACGGTAATGAAATTAAGAATGGATAGCAATAATAACAGAAATATCAGAATAATAGTGATGACAGTATTAAAAATCACTCACAAGATAAATTACATGAAGAGAGAGAGAGAAGGGGAGGGAAAATACATAGACAGAGACAGAGACAGACAGTCAGACAAACAAACAGCCAGGAAGACATACAAAGAAAGAAACACAGAAGACAAGAAAAAAAAAAAAGAAACACAGAAAAGGGGAAAAAATAAAAAAGAAACAGAAGACAAAAATAAAAAAACAGAAAAAACAGAGACAAATAAAAAAGAAAGAAACTGAAAAGACAAAGAAAACACAAAACAAACAAACAAACACAGACGAGAAAGCCAACCACTCCGCTACAAGAAGGGGCCAACCAACCACCGCGAGAGAGGGAGAGCGAGCGGAGTGCCAGCGCCAAGACCCGCCCCAGAGCCCGGAGTGCCACAGCCGGGCACCGCGGACTCCCTGCCGTAATAATCCTGGCATTACTCCGTCCTCCTCCAGATCCCGAAGCGTTGACGAGAAGAGCTCAGATAATCACTTCGTTTCCTTTTCTCGTCTTTCGCTTTGGTTTTCCTTATTTGTCCGTCGTTTTTTTTTTTTTTTTTTTTTCCTTTTTTCTGTTTTGCTGATTTTTGTTTCTTCTTTTGATTTTATTTTATTGTGTTTTTTGTTGTTGTTTTTTGTCGATTTTTTTCGTTTCTTTTTTCTTGTATTTTGTTTTCCCGATTTTTTTCTGGTTTTGTTCTCTTGTACATTTATTGTTTTTCTTTGTTTTGTTTCGTAATTGTTCTTTTAGTTTTTTACTTTTTTTCTTATTTCTTTTTATCCTTCTTGTCCCTCTTTAAGTT